ATTTCTTATTATCTATTTTCATACTTTTCTTCAGCAATCAGTAAAACATTGGCCTATACAGGCAGTAAAGGAGGAGAAAAGGCTAAGACAGTCCTCCTTACACCTTGGACTCTTTTTTTCCTTTCTCTCAAGTAATATAGGGCTATTCTTTGGGTATGATTTTCATGTCTGTCTGGAACATAAATGTCAAATTGAGTTTGGAAGCATAGAGAAATCAAGCTAACAAAACGCCTAAGTGACATAGTACAATTCAGTGCAACATTTCCACATTGTAGCTTCTGCCCTAAAATTAACCTTAAGCTTTGCACAGAGTAGAAAATACATGTAAATTTTATAAATGCATTTTTAAAAATCTCTATATGATTATATCATATTGTTCTATTAAGAAAACCAAGGAATACCCTAGAAAAGGAGTATCCTTTTAGTACCCACCCCAGAAAAAAAGGTAATGGAGATGAGGAAGAACTTGAGTGAAAGGCTTACTGATTTCATGCATCTGATTTTGACTCATACGAGTCTCCTTGGAACATACGACATCTTTAAAAATTACTTAGTCCACATTATCTTCATCATTACAATCACTTACATTTTATATATGTTTTCACTGTCACCAAGAGGAAATTACTGGTCATGAAGGTAAACCCTTCAGAGAAATGTAACGATTTTACATCTCTAATGTTGGAAGTACTTAAAATTTAGTTGAGATAACTTACTGTATACAAAAGCAAAGCGATACAAATACTCTTCTAAGAGTAACTATAGTAAAGACTGTAGGTTTGAAATAAGGATATGGGACTAAGAACATGAACCCTCTCTGTAGATGCACAGGATTTAAATTCTGGCTCTACCAGTCATCATCTGTGTGACTCTGGGCAAGTTACTTAAGTTCTATAAGCCCCAACCAGCGTGGTAATACAATTATTAAAATCTCTTTTAAATTGTACCTTCCCGATGTGGTTGTTAAGAGGTGTTAGCATGTCTAATACCTAATAACTTCTCAATAAATGTTCATGATTGATAACTAAGTGTAATGGCATTTCTCTGGGCAGTCTTAGAGAATGTGTTCTAACTTGAGCTTTGTGTAGAAATTAAAGTCACTGATTGATAAAGCAGTGATGGATATTGATAGTGAAAGAATGTAGAAAAGGGCTGAAATTTTAAAGATGTACATGAGAAATAGAGAATGGTCTAGCCAGAGCAGAGCACAATTCAAGGGAAGAATGTGATGTAAACACATCCGTAGTTTATTCTTGTGGCATTTCCATATTCTCCATGACTTCTCCAAATAAGTTATATGTATTCTGTGTTCTTGTCTGTAAAATCAGTGCTATCTTGAAATGTAATTCATTGAATAGAACACTCTAAAGTTGCTGGATACTATGTTGCACTTGTTGAAGTCAGAATAAAAATATACAGATGAATCTTTAACATTTTATTTGGGAAGCAAGACTGCAATTTGAGATACACAGACAAAGTGGTCTTTGTTATGTCTGAAGAACAAGGAGGAGGTTGGGAGTTTTATTAGAAAGAGAAATCTTACGTATTGTTTTAAAAGAAAGCTCACTGGCACTAGAGAATTTCTTGGGAGCTGGCAAGATCTGATTGGTGAATGATGGTGGTAGGTGAAACCAGTTTTAGAGTCATGGCAAGTCATATGCAGCAGCCGCTACATAAAACCGGTCTTAGGGTTGCAGCAGGCCGTTTCAGCACCAGGGGGTGTGGAAATGTTTTATTTTATTTATTTTATTTTTATTTTTTGAGACGGAGTCCCGCTCTGTCGCCCAGGCTGGAGTGCAGTGGCCGGATCTCAGCTCACTGCAAGCTCCGCCTCCCAGGTTTACGCCATTCTCCTGCCTCAGCCTCCTGAGTAGCTGGGACTACAGGTGCCCACCACCTCGCCCGGCTAGTTTTTTTTGTTGTTTTTTTTTTTTGTATTTTTTAGTAGAGACGGAGTTTCACCGTGTTAGCCAGGATGATCTCGATCTCCTGACCTCGTGATCCGCCCGTCTCGCTAATTCTTGGATCAGTTGCCCTGTGCCCTGAGTGCTTCCCGCCTCGCCCCTCAACCCTAATTTAGTTGGCTACAACAAGAATGACCCAATTTGTATAATCAACTTTCACACACCTTTCTCACTTAATGGACCTTTAATGGCTGCTATCTTTCTTCTGTCCTTTTCAGTTTGAAAATCATTCTCCTAGCTAGAGAAGACTAAAGCAAGATAGGAGTTGAGTTTCTCTCGCTTTTTTTTTTTTAATCTATTATTATTAGTTTTTTTTTCCCAAACACGTTTGTTCTTGCCTTGTTTCTCTTCCTCTAGAAATATATTTTAAAAGACCCTCCATGATATTTTTCATAGGCCGTGAGCATTCTGGATTATAGTCATCACACCAGCATTCACACAGGCTCGGGTAACTTTCTCATTGACCTTGACTCCCTGCTCCTTCCATTTCAGTCATTCCCATTTTAAAAGCTCTTTTTGTTGTCATATTGGGAAATTATTAGCATTTTGAGACCAAATGCAGATGCTCAAAGGGGATGGACTACATAACTCTGAGAATTTGTACCTAAGGATCCAGGAAATGGTGTCATTACTAAGGGCATTGGAGGTGGAAAATGGCATTGGTTTGGAGGAGAAACAATTAGTTTCAGCTTCAGAAGGATAATTGGAGGTGACCTGTCAGGCAGTTGGAAGGTAGAACTAGAGAAAAAGGTGAGAAACCATAACTTGGTAAGATTTAGCAGTCATGTGACCTTGATTATTTAACCACAAACATAGATAAGATACTGGGGGCACAAAGCTGAGAAACACAAAGAGTGACCACTGGGAGATAACTATGGTGAAAAAAAGTCAGGAGGGAGCTGCAGAGCTAATGAAAACAGATCCTTCAGAAAAGGAGGAGTGTGTCTCACATATTAGGTCAAGACCAGCAAACCAAAAGTAGTTCTAAGAGCATTTTGTAATTAAACTTGACATCACTGATGTGTCAACTCTCTGTGGCATTCACGTTGACATCCCCCCAAGCCACATCTGTAAATCCAGAGTAGATAGACATAAGTGTAGGAATGAGCACATTTCTTCTTTCCTCTGCTTGGGTTCCTTAGTTTGTGACTGTGTAGCACAGAGTCAGCCACAATGGAGAGTTCAAAACTGAACTCCAAGCAGCTCCAACATAGTATCCAGCTGAATTTCCTAAGATTCTCTGTATCCCTAAAGGTCTGGAAAGGTAAGACAATGTGGTATAGAACAGGAGTGCCACACCAGCAAGTGGCAGGCTAGAGGAAGTCTTAACTCTGCCTCCGGTTAAAGTGTAACCTGAACAAATCACTTAACCCCTTTCTTTGGGTGAATCTCATTCATAAAATGAAGAAACTAGATTTGTAAGGGCCTTTCACTCCAAAATAATCATATTATTTTAGTACTAAGACTTACCCTCTGCCTCTGTTTTGTTTTGTTTTGTTTTGTTTTAAGGGTAGCACACTATTTGGGGGAGTTTAAAAAGTCATCGTAGCCGGACGCAGTGGCTCACGCCTGTAATCACAGCACTTTGGGAGGCTGAGGCAGGCGGATCACGAGGTCAGGAGATCGAGACCATCCTGGCTGACACGGTGAAACCCCGTCTCTACTAAAAATACAAAAAATTAGCCAGACGAGGTGGCAGGCGCCTGTAGTCCCAGCTACTCAGGAGGCTAAGGCAGGAGAATGGAGTGAACCCAGGAGGCGGAGCTTGCAATAAGCCGAGATCCAGATGGCACCACTGCACTCCAGCCTGGGAGACAGAGCGAGACTCCCTCTCAAAAAAAAAAAAAGTTGTCATCTTCCTTTGCTTTAGAAAAGGGTCCTGCCGCTGTGGGCCCTGGGTTAGGGAGTTTTAGGGGTAGGGAGTGAATCTTGCCCAAAATTTTAGTATTTACCTTTTAAAATCAGGCTGCCTCATTTCTGAATAAACTGAATGTATTGTCTAACTTAGAAAATTGGTTAGGAAATTTTTATTTTTTATAACCTCTACAGAATTATATTTTAAGAAGCTTTGAGATTTCGGTAGGTAAGGTGCTAGATATCAGCATTTAACCAGCAAATTCTGATTCTGCCACCTAATAGATGTCAACTCAACTTTGTAAATTCCAAGAAAAAAGAAAATTTAGTGCCACTAATAATGGAGTAGCTTAAATCACTGATTCAAATGATATTGCAACTCTGGCATCCAGGCTTCTAATGGGAAAGATGCCTTTCATAGGCTTTTCAGCAGTGCTTTTATGTGGCAGACATTAAATGAAAGGAAGACGATGGTAACTGAATTTATGCTTTCATATACTTAATTAAACTGAAGCTAGGCAATCAGTATAACCAGAATCTAAACATCTAATTCTTGCAGATGAAGCCATTGGGCAACCAGTTAGTATCCAGAGGAAAGAAATGTTGGTCTTTTATTGGTTTTAGATTAGTAAATATAGTAGTGGCCACTTGCTTCTCTAGAAGAATCTTGGTTAGGAGGTGCAGGAAAAGATTAAGGTTTTAAAAACATCTCTACCAAATTAGAAAAGTAATATTACAAGGACATAGGCCTTCAGGCTTTCATATGAGACACCAGATTTCAAAGAAAAGAAAGATGTAATTGAGATCTGACTAGGGTATTCTACAAATTTTTTATTTGATCCAGTTTTCTAAGACATGTTAGAAGAAAAACTAACATGGCACATATTTTCCCTCTGTTCCCCCAAATGAAGATAACAACTAACCAGGCTGATTATCGCACTAAAATCCTACCATCTTTTATACCTCCTTGCTGCTTACATCGTTGCATGTAAATTCCTCTTTTCCGTTGTGCTGAGCATGAGCATGAATTTTATGTAGCAAGACTGAAATATTCTCCACAACAAACTTTTGTTCATGCTTTTAGATGTAACATTTTTGCACAGGGCTCTGTTGCATTTTTTACAGAATCCATTTTCCAATTAATAAATAACGTTATATTAAGAGAGTCTTCTTTTTACCAATTAGGTCAAAGTCCTAAAATTTTAAGACTCAAACCCCATGGTTTAGAGCGAACTGATTCACAAACCATAGGTGACTTTGCTACAAGAAGAAAGGGTATGTACTTTAGCACCGCATGTGGTATGGGGCATTGGGAATTTATTTTGTAATGTTCTTTTTTTTTTCCTAAAAGAAGAACCTTAAATACTATTGCTGTTGTAAATAGAACTTTCCAGCACATTATTTCTAAAATGAATGCTTCCCATGTATGCCATTAACAACAGCATGTTAAATATTTGATAATATATGATATTCAGACTTCTCCTTTTGCATTATTCTTTTAACTTTTTAGACAACATTTTATCCTTTAAATTTGTGAACTGTTTGTGATTTTCTGTTGTCTTCTGTCTTTATGTATATGTATTCTGTTCTGACACAGAAGAATCATTTCCATGGATTAATTGTGCCATTATTTAAAATCTAACAGCTAAACTGCTATTAGCCTTTGGGTGTCAAAAAGTAAAACATTAACAGTTAAAGAAATACTTTCAGTCAGCAGAATATTCTGTATCTGTCTATTTTAAGAATATAGACAAGCAAAATGGTTTTAGCTAAAATTTAATAAGTTAATTTGGTCTTCATTATATATGAGTTGACAAAATACTTATGAGCCTCAATGTGTATGGTCCTTTAAAATGACCATTCATTTTATAGTGTAATGGTAATTATGCCATAATTGATTAAAATTGAATATACATGGGCAAAGACTATAAATAAATCTGGAAAGATGAAATTTTTTGTTAAGAGTGGCAGAATGAAACATAACTGAAATATTTACCTAAAATGTTTAGGTAGTCTCCTAAAATATCTAGTATTAAATAGTATTGTTTTAGTTCTTTTGCTCACTCCATAAATTTCTGAAAAAATCTCAGTTTTGACTTTAAGAAAATGGCTGAGAACTCTGGTATATACTGGTTTAATTGTCTACTGCAATGTGAGGTAAATAAAGATCACTTATAAATGAAAATTATTATTAGCATTTACTTAATTGTATATAATTTAGGAAGAGATTTGTTGGTTAAATTACACTAACAATTTGAAGTAAAATAATTGTGGCCTTTTTTCAGAGTAGAGTTTGGATCTAAAGATATAAATATTGTTTCGTTTTGTTTGTTTCCAGACTGGACATGAATTATTTTAAAAGATTTGAACATTTTTTTGGTTTGGGGTTTTAACAAAGTTTTGTTTTTAATAGTTTCTATGCATCATTTTATATATATAGTTATATACTTCAGTATTGAAGAATAGGAATGATTTTACATAGATGATTAAATTTCCTTATTGAGTATGAAATTGGTGAAATAATTTATCAAATAATGAAACGTATAAAGCAACCATAGAGAAACTGGGTCACATTACTCTTTCTTCATCTCATTTAGTTTATATTCATAAAACATGTACTTAGGCAACATGTTGTAATAGAGGTTTAGGCTTTGAGGTAACAATCATGAAACATTTGATTTAGCTTTTACCACTAATTACTTAGCTATGTAACCTTGGGCAAATCATGTAACATTCATGAACCTCATTTCATATGTGTAACTAGGTGGTCTTAGGTTTGCTCTATCAAATATAGAGTTACAGAGAGAGAATCTTGTTTGTTTTCCAAAGTTCTGTACACTAAAAATCTCTTTTTCTCTCTTTTTTTTTTTTTTCAGTCAAGCCAGCACCTTTAGAAATAAAACCTTTGCCAGAATGGGAAGAATTACAAGCCCCAGTTAGATCTCCCATCACTAGGAGTTTTGCTCGAGAGTAAGTCCTTTGTCTAAAATATGTAGTTTGTATGAATAATGTGACTATCTAGAATTGTTCATTATCCTGGAAAATATCTAGAATAGTGGTTCTCAATGGATGATCTGAAGAGCCCCCTTTTAAGGGGTTCTGTGAAGTCAAAACCATTTTCATTAATATATTAAGATGTTATTTCCTGTATTTATTCTCCTACTGAGTGTACAGTGGAGTTTTCCAGAGGTTACATGATAAGTGATGATATCATTGTGACACCCAATAGAATGTGTGTATTTGTGTACTACTTGTGTTTTAAAAAATAGTCTATTCTCATTTCTAATACGGCAAAATGAATAGGTACAACTCATGTAAACAAAAATTTCTTGGGATTCTCAATAATTTTTAAGAGTATAAAAGGTTTATGAAACCAAACATTTCTGAGGATTACTAATCTTGAAAATGTGGTCGTCTCTTGTGGAGATTATGTAACCGAGACTTATTTGCCACTTTTTTTTTTTTTTTTTGAGACAGAGTCTCGCTCTGTCGCCCAGGCTGGAGTGCAGTGGCAGGATCTCAGCTCACTGCAAGCTCCGCCTCCCAGGTTTACGCCATTCTCCTGCCTCAGCCTCCCGAGTAGCTGGGACTACAGGCGCCCGCCACCTCGCCCGACCAGTTTTTTGTATTTTTTAGTAGAGATGGGGTTTCACTGGGTTAGCCAGGATGATCTCGATCTCCTGACCTCGTGATCCGCCCGTCTCGGCTTCCCAAAGTGCTGGGATTACAGGCTTGAGCCACCGCTCCTGGCCACCAAGACTTATTTAAATGTATATAGGAAAATGAGAGGAATTTATGAAGTTACAAACCTACATTGAACATATGTTCATGTTTTACATGTGTGTGTATATATATTATATATTATGTATATTATATTATATATTATGTATTATATATTATATATAGTTTTTTTAAAAATAGAAATTCTTGTCTTCCGTTTTATATCTGTAACTTTCTACTTATCACCAAGTCACTGGTAGTGGGTATTTTTGGGGGGGGGGGGACTTGTTTTACACAAAATATTTTGCTGTCCAAAATACACTTTTATAAAACAGTTATAAATATTAGTTATGTGTTTGTGCACAAAAATTATGTCATTATAAATTTGTACAATGAATGATTGTAAACATAAGGGAATATTTCTGAAAGAATGCAGACTATCATTTTTATTTGGGGAATAATTTTAGGTATTATTGTCAAGGCTTATGTTTGTGATAACATGTTTCTGTAATTAGCTCTTCTAGGTTTCCCATGTCCCCCCGACCGGATTCAGTGCATAGCACAACTTCAAGCAGTGACTCACATGACAGTGAAGAGAATTATGTTCCCATGAACCCAAACCTGTCCAGTGAAGACCCAGTATGTAAAGTTTTAACTTCTCCTTTTCTGAGCAGCCCTTTTCAGTCATTCAAGCTAGAACTGTTCTGTCTATAAATTTTATCCTCATATCTTTATATACTTAAGAAAAAGCAATAAAAGACAACTTTTTAAAAGCTTATTAAAAATAATGTCATAAACTCTAAAAACAATAAAAGGTGAAAGTAAACTGTAAATGAGTTTAAAAAAAAAAGTTGCCTGGCACAGCAGCACAACCCTGTAGTTTCAGCTGTTTGGGAGGCTGAGGTGGGAGGATCACTTGAGTCCTTGAGTCCAGCGGTTTGAGGCTAGCCTGGGCAACATGTCACCCCATGTCTAATAGAAAAAAAATAAAGTTTTCAGTTATATCTCATATAAGAGATACTTGATTTTTGATACTCTTCAAGAAAATACACTGGCAGCATTTTATAATACAGTTCTCTAAGGCCGTGTCACAGCACTCTAGTGGTGAAATGGTCTTATAAATAAGTAATATACCCTTAGATAGGTGTAAAGATTAAAGAAGACCTCTTATAAACATAACATGTTTAGTTGGCTATACTATCATAAAGCATGAGAATTTTCTAATGGTAGTGAGCATTTTGTTCCTCAGAAATCAGGTAGTTGCCAGAAAATACTTCAAATGTTTAAGAATACAAACCAATTTTAGTTTTAAAAAATATTTGGCTTTAGCTTTTCCTTAAGTCAGATTTAATGTTTGCTTTGTTATTTGTATTTTAGTAGATAAGTATATCTGTTAGGATTAAATTTCCCTCTGAATAAAAGAGAATAAATATTCGTGACTCAAGAGAGAATTTTCTTTCTTTCTCATGGAAAAGTCTGGAGAGAATCAATCCAAGGCTGTTGTGGCAGCTCTGTTCCATAGAGTCTTCAGGGATTCAGACCTTTTCCAGCTCTCCGGTCTGCTTTCCTTCGGTGTGGCACATATGCTCATTGGACAAGATGACGCTCCAGCCAACAGAGCCACATGCCAACTCCAGGTGGAGGAAAGGGAGAAAAAGAAGGGTACAGCCCAACTGCCTCATAAGGACAGTTCCTCGAAACTGCTGTATACAAACCATTAACCAGAACTTAGCCTGTGTGGCCACACTGAGACACAAAGGAGCTAGAAAACATGGCCTTAGATCCGAGAAACAGTGAGCCCACCTGAAAATCCCATGCATATGGGAGCAGGGAGAGCAGGTATTGAGGGACAGTCAGGCCATATGTACCAGGATAAGCAAATACCTAATGTCAAAATTTGGAATCAGTAACATTTTAGTGGCCCTATATTATTTAAAATAGCCCTATTTAGAGGTATAAAATAGAAAGCCCAATTCTATCAATGAATTGGTTTTTCATCCTTTATAGACTTTAGGCAGAACCAGGTTTCTTACAACTATATGTTGTCAGGAAACATAATTAAGTGATATGAACAACTTGATTTTGTGCTTAAATTACTTGACTTTAAAATATTACCAAATCTTAGCCAGGCACAATGGCATGCGCCTGTAGTCCCAGCTACCCAGGAGACTGAAGCAAGAGGATCTGTTGAGCCTAGGAGTTCACACCTAGCCTGGGCAACATAGTGAGACCTCGTCTATAAAAATTTTTTAAATATCAAATGTATAAAGTGTTCAAAAATATCCTTGAGGAATCGCCATACTGTTTTCCATAATGGTTGAACTAGTTTACAATCCCACCAACAGTGTAAAAGTGTTCCTATTTCTCCACATCCTCTCCAGCACCTGTTGTTTCCTGACTTTTTAATGATTGCCATTCTAACTGGTGTGAGATGGTATCTCATTGTGGTTTTGATTTGCATTTCTCTGATGGCCAGTGATGATGAGCATTTTTTCATGTGTCTGTTGGCTGTATGAATGTCTTCTTTTGAGAAATGTCTGTTCATATCCTTTGCCCACTTTTTGATGGGGTTGTTTATTTTTTTCTTGTAAATTTGACTGAGTTCTTTATAGGTTCTGGATATTAGCCCTTTGTCAGATGAGTAGATTGCAAAAATTTTCTCCCAGGTTGCCTGTTCACTCTGATGGTAGTTTCTTTTGCTGTGCAGAAGCTCTTTAGTTTAATTAGATCCCATTTGTCAATTTTGACTTTTGTTGCCATTGCTTTTGGTGTTTTAGACATGAAGTCCTTGCCCATGCCTATGTCCTGAATGGTATTACCTAGGTTTTCTTCTAGGGTTTTTATGGTATTAGGTCTAACATTTAAGTCTCTAATCCATCTTGAATTAATTTTCGTATAAGGAGTAAGGAAAGGATCCAGTTTCAGCTTTCTACTTATGGCTAGCCAATTTTCCCAGCACCATTTATTAAATAGGGAATCCTTTCCCCATTTCTTGTTTTTCTGAGGTTTGTCAAAGATCAGATGGCTGTAGATGTGTGGTATTATTTCTGAGGACTCTGTTCTGTTCCATTGGTCTATATCTCTGTTTTGGTACCAGTACCATGCTGTTTTGGTCAAGGATCTAGAACTAGAAGTACCATATGACCCAGCCATCCCATTACTGGGTATATACCCAAAGGATTATAAATCATGCTGCTATAAAGACACATGCACACGTATGTTTATTGCGGCACTATTCACAATAGCAAAGACTTGGAATCAACCCAAATGTCCATCAGTGACAGACTGGATTAAGAAAATGTGGCACATATACACCATGGAATACTATGCAGCCATAAAAAAGGATGAGTTTGTGGTCTTTGTAGGGACACGGATACAGCTGGAAACCATCATTCTCAGCAAACTATCACAAGAACAGAAAACCAAACACCGCATGTTCTCACTCATAGGTGGGAACTGAACAATGAGATCACTCGGACTCGGGAAGGGGAACATCATACACCGGGGCCTATCATGGGGAGGGGGCGGGGGGGGAAGGATTGCATTGGGAGTTATACCTGATGTAAATGACGAGTTGATGGGTGCTGACGAGTTGATGGGTGCAGCACAGCAACATGGCACAAGTATACATATGTAACAAACCTGCACGTTATGCACATGTACCCTAGAACTTAAAGTATAATAATAAAAAAGAAAAGAAAAAAGTATTCAAAAATAATATAATCAATATATCAATAATATTTTCACTGATTTTTCAAGGCAGGGTAATTTTTATTGACTTTTGTATTCACTACTTTTCAATTTATTATTATTTAAGTTAATTAGTTTTCCTCAGTATAGTAAGTTGACTCTAGTAAAACCCTAGATCCTAAATTCTCGGTCAGAGTAGATATTGTCACCTATTTCCAACTTTGGGTAGTTAAGTGAACTGTTTTTTTATTGTAAAGTAGTTAGAGTATTTTCGGAGGTACTAAAGACTGTGTCTTTTTGCCCAAAATAGTAAATAGCCATAAAAATTTTGGAAAGGCCCATATAATAGGAAAGTTTAAAAATGTGATTTGTCATAGGTAAGTATTAGATGAAGGGAAAAGATGAAAAAGAAGAGTATTACAATCAGAAATCAAAGGAAATCAAAATACAATTTTTTTTTTTTTTTTTTTTTTTTTTTTTTTGAGATAGAGTCTCGCTCTGTCGCCCAGGCTGGAGTGCAGTGGCCGGATCTCAGCTCACTGCAAGCTCCATTTCCTGGGTTTATGCCATTCTCCTGCCTCAGCCTCCCGAGGAGCTGGGACTACAGGCGCCCGCCACCTCGCCCGGCTAGATTTTTGTATTTTTTAGTAGAGATGGGGTTTCACCAGGGTAGCCAGGATGGTCTCGATCTCCTGACCTCGTGATCCGCCCGCCTCGGCCTCTCAAAGTGCTGGGATTACAGGCTTGAGCCACCGTGCCCGGCCTTTTTTTTTTTTTTTTACACCTAATGCCATTAAGCCACAAAGGTACTTTTACTTGTCACCAGTAGAGGTGTCTAAATAAACACAATGTGGTGAATTTCTTTTTTTTTTTTTTTTTTTTTCGGAGACAGATTCTCGTTCTGTCACCTAGGCTGGAATGCAGTGGCGTGATCTCAGCTCTCTGCAGCCTCCACCTCCTGGGTTTTAAACAATTCTCCTGACTCAGCCTCCTGAGTAGCTGGGATGACAGGTTTGCGCCACCACTCCCGACTAATTTTTGTGTTTTTGATAGAGATAGGGTTTCATCATGTTGCCCAGGATGGTCTCAAACTCCTGACCTCAAATGATCTGCCTGCCTTGGCTTCCCAAAGTGCTGGGATTACAGGCGTGAGCCACTGCACCTGGCCTGTGATGAATTTCTGAAGTACTTAGGTCCTATGTATTAGAAAAAAGCACAAGTGACCCAGGAGGACATACCTATCTACCAAGTACAACAGAAAAGTTAACAGTGCCAATTCCATCTCCTCATGCTGCCAAATACAAGGACTCATCATAGTCCATTCAACTCTCCCTTAGAAAAGAATATGAGAATTATAGCAAATATTTAACAAACTTCTTTAATTTTGGATCAAAACTCATGCATTATCAAGTGAATTCTGAATGTGACACCTGAAATTCAAATGATGGTAAACCATAACTAAAGGCAGACATATTGTTATGTGATAATAACAAAAATATGTTAAATGATTTCACATAATTTTTTAAAAATCTAGGCCACGTGTGGTGGCTCACACCTGTAATCCCAGCACTTTAGGAGGCCAAAGCGGATCACCTGAGCTTAGTAGTGTGAGACCAGCCTGGCCAACCTGGTGAAACCCCGTCTTTACTAAAAATACAAAAATTAGCCAGGTGTGGTGGCAGACGCCTGTAATCCCAGTTAGGAGGCTGAGGCAGGAGAATTGCTTGAGCCCACAAGGCAGAGATTGCAGTGAGCCAAGATCAAGCCACTGCCCTCCAGCCCAGGCGACAAAGCAAGAGTCCACCTCAAAAAAAAAAAAAAAATCTAGCACTACTGGTTTGTTATTTAATTCAAAGGACACTTATAATACCTTGTAGAATCTCAGAGTTTCTCTAAACTGTTTTGGGAAAATACTGGGTGAAAGGCTAGAATACAGACAGGCTGTTCCCACTGGAGATTAAATCAAGAGCAAATAGACTTCCTTGTAGACACACAAATGTTAACAATACTTAAAGATGGAAAAATGTTCAGTTCTAGTAATAGCAGACATAAAATAGGTTAACTAGCCACCCTGAGAAATTCTGTTTAAGAGCAGCTTACTGGTATAATGCATGCAGGTCTTTTGAATGCATACATTTCTTTTATAGCCTTGTAATACTGTGAACACTTCTAGATATTTCTAATCAGAGAAATGGAGGTTATGGGTCTTTCATTGATCACATTTGAATATAGAATTTTCCACACGCACATGGCTGATTTTATGTGACAATGATGTATAGAGTCATTCAGGTAAAAAATTTCATGATGATTTCAGTTTCTCCATGAATTAGAAAAAAGGGAGGGATTGCTATTTATATTGAGGACCAAAACTTGCTTACATTTTTTGTGTTCTACATGTTATTTTTGATTTTTTGTTTTTTTCAGACAGAGTTTCCCTGTTTCCCAGGCTGGAGTGCAGTGGCGCGATCTTGGCTCACTGCAACCTCCACCTCCCGGGTTCAAATGATTAGCCTGTCTCAACCTCCCAAGTAGCTGGGATTACAGGCGCCCACCACCACACCCAGCTAATTTTTGTAGTTTTTAGTAAAGATGGGGTTTCACCATGTTGGCCAGGCTGGTCTCGAACTCCTGACCTCAGGTGGTCCCCCCTGCCTCAGCCTCCCAAAGTGCTGGGATTACAGGCCTGAGCCACTGCGCCTAGCCGTTTTCTGTATTTTTTTTAATGTTTTATTTGCAGTAATTGATACATTTGGTTTAAAAAATCTGTTTCTTCAAATAGGAACATTACATTTAGTTGTGCAGGTTGTTTACTGCATAAACATACTGCATACCTGATTATATGAAATTCAGGCTATGTGCTGCTCACCACGCTGCACTCGCCCACAGCACAGAGCTGTGTCACCCCAGTGCAAGCACCACCTTTTAATAATTTGCAAAAAGGTTCCATACCAGCTATTAGCAGCCTTGCTACAAAATGAGGGAATAGTGTCAATATTTCCCTAGAAGTGTCTTTTCCCTAAGGCACAGTTTTTTCTGTTTAACCTAAGCAAAAAGAAATGAAGTAGCAACATAAAAAGAATCAACAGAACCACCAGATGTATGCAGTTTTCAAATTGTTTTATTCATCATAACATGTACAAATTTTTAACTTTGTTAAATCATTATGGTTTTCTTCAAAAGTATGAGATAATATATAAGCATTAATATCAACAGTGCACAAGGATGAAAATCCCTAATGAGAAATACAGTCTTGCATATGAGAAGCCAAGAACATTTCTAGATTGGGTTAAAAGGAGTAAGGCATGGAAACAAGTCACTTGTTTGAGCACATGTATAATAGAACCCTGTTGTAATTAGAGTGGAGGGAATATATAGGGACTTAGGTTCATGCCAGCTTTTTCTTTCTATTTAGCATTGATCTTTCATTTTTCTGCCTCAAGTTTTTTGTTCCTGTTGTTTATTGCTGTCATCTATCTTCCCACCTTCTTTACCTTTTTTTTAGAGAGTAGTCCTACTGTACAAATCATCTGAAATGGTTATTTACAAATTCCAGAGTTGTCTTCACTCTACTCTCTTTAAAATCTTAGCACTATTTTTGTCCAAAATTTTAATTCTTTTTAAACCCACAAGTTAGTATTATTAGTGCTCTTATTATATAAACTATGCTTATTTACGTTTTTCTGCATGTTTAGCGGCTTCTTTATCACTTCTTCTTGTATCTCAGGCCTTCCTTAGGTAATAATTTTCCTTCTCTCTTAAATACGTACTTTAAAATGTATGCCTTTCAGGAAGGAAAAGATCAGGCTAAGGAAATTAAGTGGTAAAAAAATCCAGATGATTGAAACAAAATAGACTTAGCCAATGGAGTCAAACAAAGTTTAGTGTGAAAGCCTTTAAATAAAATGCAGAAAGTTTTTTAAAAATTTAATTGGAAAGCAAGGAATATAAAGATCCTGTAAACACATAATTGAGTACAGATATAATTTTAATAATGTTCAAGTTGGGTTATCATAGCAAACTATCTCTTGATGTCTCAATCTTAGTGTGAACCAAGTTTAACTTTTGAAACTACGTTTAGCTTGCTCTAAGCTAGGCTTTAATCAGTTTTTTAAATATTACTTATTTTCTTTCTATCCTAAAAGGTTGTTTAACTTTTTAAGCTATGTCCTCTTGAAAGCAAAGATTTAGGCTTCCGTAGATGTCCAACAGTATGAGTGGTATGTCTGGTGAATGTCTGACCGTTGATTTTGTTGTCTAATACTTTCAGAATCTCTTTGGCAGTAACAGTCTTGATGGAGGAAGCAGCCCTATGATCAAGCCCAAAGGAGACAAACAGGTGGAATACCTAGATCTCGACTTGGATTCTGGGAAATCCACACCACCACGTAAGGTGAGTGACATGTGACGTGCCTCTTCTGTGTATACAGTTCACACTTCAAACCTGAAGAATTATCTCCTTTGGGATAATTTTATTAAGTTATGTTTAATATAAATTTAGTCTGGTCTGCTACTTGATGCTGTCTCGTAAACCACAAATAACATAGTTATGGAGAGTGATTTTTTTTTTCCTTTCTGACAGTTAGAAATTTTACACTTTCTACTCTTTTAGTGGTTACTATTGAAATAGTTATTTAACAAATTCTTTTTTGTTTTTTTTTTTTTTTTCTGAGACAGAGTCTTGCTCTGTTGCCTAGGCTGGAATGCAGTAGTGTGATCTTGGCTCACTGCAACCTCCGCTTCGCAGGTCCAAATGATTCTTCTGCCTCAGCCTCCCAAATAGCTGAGATTACAGATGTGCACCACCACTCCTGGCTAATTTTTGTATTTTTAGTAGAGACACAGTTTCACCATGTTGGTCAGGATGGTCTCTAACTCCTGACCTCAAGTGATCTACCCACCTCAGCCCTCCAAAGTGCTGGGATTACAGGCGGAAGCCACTGCGTCCATAATTTAATGAATTCTAATGTTAACCGGTATAGTGTCTTTACTCTCCTTAAAATGTTCAAATTATGTGCTATTTTTGTCCAAAATTTTAATGTTATCTTTTTTGTTAAACCCACAAATTAGATAGTATTATTACTGCTCTTATTATATAACAATGTTTATTTACATTTTCCTACATGTTTACCAGCTTATCATTCCTTACTATTTCTGACTTTCCTTCTGCAATAATTTTCCCTCCACCTGAAAGGAAGGTGAAAGGACACTTCTAGGGAAATACTGATCATGAGGTCAGGAGTTTGAGACCAGCCTGACCAATATGGTGAAACCCTGTCTCTACTAAAAATGCAAAATTAGCCGGGCATGGTGGCACATGCCTGTAATCCCAGCTACTCAGGAGGCTGAGACAGGAAAATTGCTTGAACCCACGAGGCGGAGGTTGCAGTGAGCTGAGATCGCGCCATTGCACTCCAGCCTGGGCAACAAGATCAAAACTCCTTCTCCAAAAAAAAAAAAAAATAGTATTCGCAGTGCATGTGTGTTTGTGTTTTAAGACTGAGTTGTACTCAGAAACACTCCTTTATATGTTGGATTTTTTGTTTTTTCTTTGTGTTTTAGCAAAAGAGCAGTGGCTCAGGCAGCAGTGTAGCAGATGAGAGAGTGGATTATGTTGTTGTTGACCAACAGAAGACCTTGGCCCTAAAGAGTACCCGGGAAGCCTGGACAGATGGGAGACAGTCCACAGAATCAGAAACGCCAACAAAGAGTGTGAAATGAAAATATTGCCTTGCCATTTCTGAACAAAAGAAAACTGAATTGTAAAGATAAATCCCTTTTGAAGAATGACTTCACACTTCTACTGTAGGTAGATCCTCAAATGAATAGAGTTGAAGTCAAAGGACCTTTCTGACATAATCAAGCAATTTAGACTTAAGTGGTGCTTTGTGGTATCTGAACAATTCATAACATGTAAATAATGTGGGAAAATAGTATTGTTTAGCTCCCAGAGAAACGTTTGTTCCATAGTTAACACACTCGTAGTATTACTGTATTTATGCACTTTTTCATCTAAAACATTGTTTCAGGTATTCCCAGTGTACCTTACCATAATTCCTTTGGGAGTTCTTGTTTGTTGTCACACTACTTTATATAACAATACTAAGTCAACTAAGCTACTTTTAGATTTGGAAATTGCTGTTTAAACTACAGTCTAACAACATTAAAATGAGAGGTAGATTCACAAGTTAACTTTCTAACTGAAGCTTCAGGTGATAACCATTAGCTTATACTTGGACTCATCATTTGTTGCCTTCCAAAATGCTGAGGATAACGTATGTACTGGTGTCAGGACCTAGTTCTCTGGTTAATGTATGTTTAGTTTTTAATGGTGGAACTTTGTTATATTTTGTTAATTACAGTGTTTTTGGTTCATTGAGTGAAGATTCCGCCGGGTGGGATCTTGCACCTTTGAAAGACTGAATAATTACACTACCAAGGAAGCCTGCAAATCATTGATGGCATGCAGTGATGATGTGCTCTTACACTTGTTAACATGTATTAAGTGTTATTTGCAAAAGGTAGATTATGTAACTAATCAGGTACGTACCAGGCAGTGATGTGCTAATACACTGATCAGGTTTAGACAATGAGCTTTGGTTGTGTTCTTGTTAGTCCTAATATTGGTTTTCAGTTTGGAATTAATAAAGCAGTTGACATTCACTGTTAGTTACAGCAACATACTGTGATTTTTAATTAGATAGTAATTCAGATTTATTACTCTATGAAATTCTGTCTTGACACCATAGTGCCCTTTCTATGATTTTTTTACTTAATATTCTTCTTGGCCTTATATTTAAATCCCTATGCAATTAATATTTTATATCTGCATTTTTTTAAAAAAAAATAGATGTTATATAAATGATTCTTATATGTAGCACCGGTTGCTTTTCCACTAAAAGAATTACAGATTTTGTACTGTGATTTATATTCACTGCCCCAATTCAAGAAATATTGGAGCCTTGCTACAATGTGAAATGTTAGCCATGGACTCCTTCCAACCAGATTTCGGAAACCACCAGAGGGATGGTATAATTCTGTCTCACCTATAACATGGTCCTGTGACATAGATATTAAGACCACAAGTTATAGTGAGGCTACAATTATATTCATCTGTCTTGGCTTTCCAACATAATTTAGAAAGCACATATAGTTGTTTTTTAACCAAGTTACATACAATCTCATGTACTGATTTGAGACTTACAACAATTTTTGGAGGGGGCATAGAGAAAGGAGTGCCCACAGTTGAGGCATGATTCCCTCCATTCAGACCTCTAACTGTTGCCTGAGTACACAGATGTGCCCTGATTTCTGGCCCATTGGCCATAGTACTGTGCCTAATCACTGTAATAGGTTTATTTTCCCAATCCACAAACTAAAAATGTTCATAACAAGATGAATTGTAGACTAGTAACATTTGATGTTAAAACATTTGATGTTAAAACATCAAATGTTATATTTGCTTTAACATTAATTTTTTAAATATTTGCTTCTTTTTAAACAAAAACTAAAACCCAGAAGTGAATTTTTAGGTGGATTTTTAAATAAACAAGATTGAGTTTGGTGTGCAAGCTGTTTTATAATGAAACCACAAAATAAAATCTAAAATCACTGAAATGTGCCTAAACTATCAAAACACATGATACAGCTAATGTGTAAAGATACTAAATGCTGTTACTTGGAGGATGAATATATTTAAGACTTAAAACACAATAATAAGTACATGATTCATTCAAAAATAAAAATCTTTACAGCTGCCTATCAGAAGGGTCTAAAGCACTTATGAATGTTTTTAGTCTAATTTATCATTGACTTTTTACAAGTCACCATATTTGAAGATCTGTAGCACTCTGATTTTCAGAAAATTTTTCATTCTGAATAATTTTTAAATGGTGATGTATTAGAAAGGCAGTTTGCTTTAGAAAACTAAATCGCATTGAACATTGTATTCAAGAATTAAATTAAAAGTTTCTTACAGAGCAGTATTTTCCAAAAGTTTTTAGCACTAGAATCTTCTTTAGATGAAATTTTATGTATAGCCCCAATACATAAAGCCTGAAAACTCAATTTTATCAATATAAATGTATTTTAGGTTCACATTATGCTTATTCATTTTGGCTCATTACTAAGCATAATAAGATTCTGAATTAACACAAATGTGGAGTTATACATAGTTGATGAAACCAGCAGCCAATTTATAGCTGTGCCCTATTTTATATGTATACTTAATCAAGAAAATTTTGATTCACACAAATGTAAGCAAAAATAATAGGTTTTAAACATACATCTCAGGAAATTTTTTAATTAGAGATAGCTAAAGTTATTCAAGATCTATACAAAGATAATTATCCTGGTAGTGCAAGTTAATACATAAGCAGTCTCCAGTATGGTAAAGTAGGGTATGTAACACATCAGAATGTGCATTTTTATTAAGTTTTAAAATATGTAAGTATAAAAACTAAATTTGAATCAAACCCTTTTAACTCACCTCCAAGAAGCTACACTTTGGCCAGGAATGGGCTAAAAACCACTGGTTCACCATGTGACAGTTACGATGTTGGAGATTGGAAATCTTTCTTCCACATTAGAGTTCTTTACCTTAATTCCTTATTTTGAAAAATTGTAAGATTTTATGAAGGTTTGAATACCAAAGCACAGTTCTGCTTTCAAACATTAAAATTCAAACTTGAAAAAGCTGTTTAACCCATGGAAGATATCATTTAGTAAGATGTAAAAGATTTTTTAAATCTACACTTCAGTTTATACATCTTTATCATTATCAATACTATATAAGTTACTGTGAGCATTTTAGAGAATTCCATAAAGGTACTATGAGTGTGTCTGTATGTGTGTGTATATATAGCATTGTATTTAATCATAGACTAAATTTAATTTGATATAGAAATATTACTTTACTTGTACATTAAGGTCATAATTTCTGCTGGACTCTTTTATATTTAATTAATGGGGATTATAGTCTTCCTTCATAAATGCATTTAAACCGGAAATTGAACACCAGTGTTTTTCTTTTTCTACTTATGGGGAATTGTCTGCTTCCCCCTTTAGAGAAAACAGTATTTTTATATTTTGTTAAAATATTAACTACTTTATGCCTACACACTATGCTGTAGATACTGATCATAATTCTTGGGTGTTCACAAACACTCCTAGTGCCTCTTTTTTTAGCCCGTTGAAAGTGTTGGTATTACTACTTTCACTACAGAGCCTTTGGCCCTCTAATAATGCTGAGGTGGGCTGATCCTTCCTGTTTCTGTCTTCGGATCATTCTGGTAGGTCTCCTCCTCCATTGTCAGGTAAGCAATCAGGTCCATGACAGGGATTGGACATAGGAACAAATTAAGTGGGTACACACAGTGAGAAAGATACATACATTCTGTGGTAACAACTACTGTCAATAACATCTGATGTTACATGCACATTTATATATATATAATTTTAAAAACTGAACTATGAGAAGCCATGGTATAAATGAATATTGTAGACATCATGGACTTGATATGATAGAAATCAATTGTCAGGTTGAGATAGTTGTTTTTAATCTGTCTAAATAGTTTATGCATTACTACAGTTAAAAATAATTTAATTTGTCTTCTATAGACTTAATTTTATTCCGGTTCAGTGTAATCTCTGTTAACAGAGTTTCAGCAAACTGATTGGTCAAGGTATTAACATAACTTCTACTTCCTTTACTTAAAAAGATGTGGTTTTATGTAAGTTCTTGATTACTGATGATCATCCCAAATTTTGACAACAAAATCATATGTATAAATTTATTTCTTCCCTCTTGCTCATCATCTTTTGTAAAGGTCCATTGTAGATCTTTTCTGCTACCAAATAAAACTTTTCAAACAATTTGGTTTCAAGACCTTAAATAGACAATTTGGATACTAAGATTGTGAACTGATAAGGACATTTAAATTTGTATTTCCAATCCTTCCTTAGAGTCTTTGTCTGCATCAAAAACCCAATTCTGCCATTAACTGTGCTTCCCAGTCCCACCTCTGTATGTCACTCATTTTCTGCAATAAAGATCTCACTAAATCATGTTGAAACACAAGTCATGATCCTCTCTAACTAAATAGGAAAAGCTCCCCGGAAAAACTCTGTTGCCACATGCACATGCCCTGTTACTCCTCCAGCCAGCCAGTGCTGCCAGCATGTTATTGAGTAAAAGGCCAAATAAATAAGGGCCAGCATGCAACCTTTATCTTCAGAAACTAGGTTTTATATGTAAAATATAACTTGGGAAATGATTCTGTTTATTAACTGGCTGGGATTTTTCATTTCTGTGAGAGTTTCAAATGTCTCCAGTACTTTATAAAATCCCAACAATTGCTGTAAGTCAGTACTTTGGTCCATTCAGCCCACCCAGCCCACTTGCAACTCTGACTATCACTGAATCATATTTGGGAAGTTTGGGTAGGGTGAGGCTTTCTTCTTCAAGATTATTTTCTCATATGTCTATCACCTTCTAACCCATGAGACTCCTGGGTATTTGCATGTAACTTCTTTGAGGAAGTTAACACCATCTCTGATATAGACACACTTTTTGAGTTGCAGTTTCTATTAGAATTTTTTGGAGACTAACTTGCCAGTTCTGTGAATATTATTGAATGTTTAAAAAGCTGAGTCTGTAATGGGAGGCATTTTATTAACTATTGTGATTGGGTAACATGTCCCCTTAGATTCCTGATTTAAAATTATACAAAATAACTATTTTTGATAAAATAAAGGAACACCTACAGAAAATTAAGTTTCTAAGATGTTTCTATACTTCATTAGAAAAGATTTTATTACTATTCCTTACGGTTATTGGTGGTGATTAACACTTAACCTGTCTCCTCTGATTTTGTGTTCCATGTGGTGCTTGGAACATTTGGAGTACTTTGTGCGGGGGACATACAGTGGTATAGGAAATTTAAAAATTAAAATCAAATAATACCCAAAAAAGCCCACTTTATCAGATATGGTATTGTGATGGTTAATACTATGTGTCAACTTGGTGAGGCTATGGCACCCATGTGTTTGGTCAAACACTAGCCTAGATGTTGCTGTGAATATATTTTGTAGATGTGATTAACATTTACAATCAGTTGATTTCAGGTAAAGCAGATTCTCATCCATAATGTTGTTGAACCTCATTCAATCAGCTAAAGGCCTTAAGAGCAAAAGCCAAGGTTTCCAAAAGTAGTAATTCAGCCTCAAGATCGTAACAAATTAATCCTGCCTGAGTTTCCATCCTGCTGGCCTACCTGCCTTGTAGATTTTGAACTGAAGACTCCATCATCACCTCTTACCTGATCCAGTCTGCTGGCCTACCCTACCAATTTCAGACTTGTCAGTTCCTACAATCCTGGAGCCTTTCTTAAAACTAATTCTCTCTCTCTCTCTCTCTCTCTCTCTCTCTCTGTCTCCCCCGTGTGTGTGTCTGTGTGTGTGTGTATATCTTCAAACACACATATAAAACATATAGGTATATAAGAATATAGAGATATCTTACAGATAGTGTATCTTATTGGTTCTGTTTTTCTGGAGAAACATGACTGATAAACATTGAATCATTAATCTGTGTGCCTCTCATACCAAGCAATGGTTTTGAAGTTTAATTTGCAATGTATTAGCAGTCTGCTCCAAAAGTTTCTTTTGAAGCCATTTACCGA